TGCATTAACTGATAATATTGAAGGAAGAGCGCCAACCGCAACTGCAACTCAAGAAGAGAAAAATAATTTTGATCGGAACGAGGGGAAAGCCATGAATGCAATTATCCAGTCGTTGGATAGTGAGCATGGAAATCTTGTTTTAACATGTAAAACTTCTAAGGAAATGATGGAAAAGCTCCGAAGCATTTATGAAAAGAACTCCGACATCCGTGCAATGACTTTATACTAAGAATTTTTCACAGTGAAAATGCGAGATGATGAATCGGTGGCAAGCTATGTGGCTAGAGTAAATCAACTGGCGTCAGAAATTGAACAGCAAAATGAAAAATTATCCGATAGATTAAAAATGGCACGCATTATTACTGGGTTAACGTCAAATTTCAATAATTATAAAACAGTGTGGTACAATACTAAAGAAAACCGAACGATTAATGAGTTGATGTCATCATTACAATTAGAAGAAGAAAATCTAAATCGGCTGAATTTAGAAGACACAGCTAATTTGAGCGCAGCGTTTTCAGCAAAAACAAAGTTAAAGTCATTTTATCCAAAAGATTTAAAGTCAAAATCAAAAATCGATAATTTGAAGAAGAAAACGAGGTGCAATGCGTGCGGTCAGAAAGGCCATTGGGCAAAGGACAAAGGCTGTCCAAAATATGAAAAATCATCAAGCAAAGACGACAAAAGCAAAGGCAGCAAAGAAGGTGGTGAAATTGCATGGTGTTCCGTCGAGGACACAGTTGAGTTACAGAGTAAGGAATCTGATAGTTGGTATGTCGATTCTGCAGCTACAAAGCATATGACATTTCATCGAGAGTGGTTTTCTACGCTGCGAAAGTACACGACCGGTAGCAAAGTTAAAGTCGCTAATAACACTTACTTACAAATCGAAGCAATAGGAACAATTCTGATTGATGTGAAAGTAGACAATCAGTGGAAGCCAGTTCGCTTAGAAAATGTATTGTACGTTCCTGAGCTCAGCGAAAATTTGCTATCAACAAGCATGATAACAGATAGAGGTATCACAGTGATAATCGACAAAGAAGGTTGCAAATTTGTCGACCAATCAAACGAAGTTGTTGCAGTAGGAAAACGCAACGCACTAAATCAGCTTAAAATTAATTTTCGATTACATATTGACGAATATGCCAACCTAGCTGCTGTTTCACTGGAACATTGGCGTCGTCGTTTGGGACATGTGCATGTCGACGCGATTAAGCAAATGTGCAAGGATGGTCTAGTTACCGGTGTCAGGTTGTCTGATAACGAAAGTTTCTTCTGCGAAGATTGCGTTTATGGTAAAATGACCAGAACAACACACAAAACATCCGTTAAGCGAGCATCAACCAGAGGTGAATATATGCATGTAGACTTGTGCGGTCCGAGTGAAATTAATGGAGTAGGCGGTATACGCTACTTCATGTTAGTGAAAGATGAAGCAACTAGTTTTCGCTTTGTGTTTTTGATAAAATCAAAAGATGAAACTTACAGTCACTTGAAGTCATTAGTGCCACTTGTTAAAAATATGAATGGTGCGCAAATCAAACATTTTCGGTTCGACAATGGCAAAGAATTTTTCAATCGAAAGGTGCTAACAAACCTATTAAGAAATGAAGGTATACAACTTGAAGGCATCGCCCCGTACACTCCCGAGCAAAATGGTCGCATCGAACGTGACAATCGTACTGTCCAAGAAAGCGCGAGAACGATGCTCATTGCAAGTGGTTTGCCGAAATCACTATGGCCGGAAGCAGTACGCACAGCGACATATTTGTTAAATCGCACAACAAACAGCAATTGCGTTGGTAGCACGCCATATGAAAAATGGTTTGATCGCAAACCATATTTGGGTCACGTCAAGATTTTTGGAACCGAATCTTTTGTGCAGATTCCGAAGCAAACGGGTCGTAAGAAGTGGGATCCAAAAGCAAAAAAGGTCTATTTAGTTGGTTTCGAGCCCACAACGAAAAACTTCCGGTTGTATGATCCATGTGGCGAAAAAGTTTTTATGAGCTGCAATATTCGATTCAACGAGAAGCGAATTGACAAATATGTGATTCACGAAGAATCAGAAATTGAAGATAATGAGGCCGGCAATAATTGTGAGAAAGTGTCCGAACAAGCAAATGAAATCGCGTCCCACGAAGAAAATGTTTTAACAAATGATCAGGGGACATGTGATGATCATGAAGCTCGACACAGCGAGCGATATAATTTGCGACCAAAGGTTAATACACCAGTCGATTGATCGAATCAGGCTATTCGGCAGTAATGTGTGAACCACGGTCGTATGATGAGGCAATTAATTCAAACGAAGTACGACAGTGGAAGCGTGCGATGGACGAGGAATATAAATCCCTGATGAAAAATTGCACTTGGAAACTTGTTGAGCCTCCGGAAAATCAAAAGGTAATTGACAACCGTTGGGTATTTAAAGTGAAGGAAAACCCAGATGGCACAATCGAACGATTTAAAGCGCGTTTAGTTGTTCGTGGTTTCACACAACAATATGGTATCGATTATGAAGAGACTTTTAGTCCAGTAGTTAAATACACGTCTGTTCGATTAATTCTGGCTTTGGCAGCGAGTCAAAAAATGAAATTAATTCAGTTCGATATTAAAACATCATTTTTGTACGGCGAACTGAAGGAAAGTGTTTACATGAAACAACCAGTAGGTTATGAAGACAAAAGTGGCCGCGTGTGCAAGTTAATCAAAAGCTTGTATGGACTTAAGCAAGCTTCGCGATGCTGGAACCAAAAATTCACCTTCTTCATTCGCAAATTCGATTTCAGGCCAAGCAGTTCAGATCCGTGCGTGTTTGTTCGTAAGAACGGCAATAGAATGACAATTATCGCCATCTATGTGGATGATGGCTTGTTAGCCACAAACGATGAGAGCGAAATTGACGTGATCATTTCATACTTACGACAACATTTCGAAGTAAAAGTGTTTGAAGCCAAGTATTTTCTCGGGTTCGAAATTGAACAGTTACCCGATAGTTAAATTCGCATACACCAAAAAACATACGCCAAGAAAGTGCTAAATCGTTTTAACATGATTGATTGTAAAACGGTATCAGCTCCGATGGACTGCAATCAAAAACTTGGTGATTTTATCAACGACGAGCACGAAAAGGCGTTTCCATATCGAGAAGCCGTTGGCAGCTTGATGTATTTGGCAATCGGAACAAGGCCAGATATCAGTTATGCTGTTGGTGTCGTAAGTCGATATTTGGAGCGACCAAGCGCAACACACGTCAATGCGGTAAAACGAATTATGAAGTACATAAGGGGCACATTGAACACAGGCATCCTTTACAAAAGCGACAGTAAGTTTGATTTCGTTGGTTATAGCGACGCTGACTACGCTGGAGACACAGACACGAGAAAGTCAACAAGTGGCTATGTCTTCCATATTGGTTCGGGTATAATTAGTTGGGCATCAATCAGGCAGCAGTCAGTATCAACCTCTTCAACAGAAGCGGAGTATGTAGCTGCGTGTCAGGCAGTCAAAGAACTCGTTTGGTTAAAATCGCTCGTGGCCGAACTGTCGATGAAAACCGATTTTAAAATCAAGTTATACATGGACAATATAAGCGCGATTCGATTAATCAAAAACACGGTATTACACAAGCGAACGAAGCATATTGATGTTCAATATCACTTCATAAGGGAAAAATTTGAAGAGGACTACTTCGACCTGAAATACGTTTGCACCGAAGAACAAATTGCAGATATACTTACTAAACCATTGAATAAGAATCGTCATATGTTGTTGTACCAATTAATGAATTTAACCTTTTATTAAAATGTTTAATTTAAATTTTTGAATTGTATTAGACAATGAGTGGAAGTGTTGAGATATACATTGTCAAACACAAATTGATAGCATATGGCAACACTTTTCTTCTCATTCCTTTTCTAACTTCTTGTTATATCTTCTCGCATACATACAAGTATATAATTTCAGTACATCATTACCTTAAATAGTTCAGTTAAAACATCCGTTTGTAAGAGCACATTTTTCTAAAAACTAATAAACGTTCTGTAAAAGCAAATCTTGTATCCGTTTGAATCTTGGTATTTTATGTGGTTAAATTAGTCTGCGCGACTACAGAAAACAACACTTAGTCTATGTGTTAAAAATGCAACACCTGAAGCGCTGTTTTTTATGTGGTGTTAAATATAATGAAGACACCACTCATTTTTTTAACGTGCCTCAATGTACTTGGCGTAAGGAGCGTTGGGAAAGCAGCTGTGGGGTAGAGCTGCAGCGAAGTGCCTTGCTGTGCGTTAAACATTTTAAAGCAGCAGATTTCATAAATGCACCGGGAGGTAGAGGAAAGGCACGTTTGATGTCAAGTGCTGTTCTTATGGCCCTTATGCCGGAAAGTCCCTCCAACAACACTGCAACTTATAAATCAAAAACAGAAAACAATATACAAATTAACAAATTTTAACTAAAGAAAATAAATAAATAAAAGCAAAACTTCTAATTTACTCAAAAACGTCAACCAGCGAAATGTAATATTTTATTTTTCCTTACACACGCTCATTTTTATTTTTACTCTCCCGAAAACTTTGACTTTTGTAGGTTTGATGTCAATTTGGCTTCTACCTGTTTTTATTGTACCATGGGTCGTACAGGTGCTGGCAAATCGAGTTTGACGCTGTCTCTGTTCAGGTGAGTAAAGCCAAATAAAAAATAAAAAATAAAACTTTAAGTTTTGCGGACTAAAAAGCGTATTAATTTTATAAAAAAAAATTATTATTTATTAACACCGTGCGACAAGGAACAAAAAAATTTAAAACACACGAAACAATCACTACACATACTCACGAAACCAGGGGCCAAATATAGTAAAGCTGCGTTTTTAGTTTTTCTCTCGGAAGGCAGATTTGTTAAAGGTCTATGAAATTTCAAGGAATTAATTATTTTAAAAATTATTTAAATATAACTACGGTTTGTTGAAGAGTGCTCTCTGACAGCAGGTGTAAGAGTCGAGGGGCGAATACATTGGCTGTTGTGATTGCAGCTTTTCGACGGTGAGCTTTCCCTGCATTGTTGAGCCAAAATTTTTTTGCTGGACAGAGCACCCGTCGGATCTTGGCTGCAACAAGAAAGTGGTTCGGCCCTCGGGGTTTACGTACGTCTAAAACACTGGAAGCGTGCCTTACGTCTATCAAAACATGATCGATTTGGTTTCTCGTTTTTCGATCTGGAGACAGCCAAGCAGCTTGATCGATATTTGTGTGCATGAAGCTAGTACTGACTACTACCATGTTTGGGGCCTGGAGGTCAAATATTCCATCCGTGCTCAGCCTGGCATTGAGATCATCTAACACGATTTTTATATCTCCACGGTAGCAGCGCTCGTATGTGTTCTCCAAGCACTCATAAAATGGTTTCTCAGCCGAATACATGTTAATACAGCGAATCACCCGCTTTCAGCCGCACCTACTGGTGAGCAAACGCAGAAAGTGAGGTGGAAGATTCGTGTGAAGCTGAAGTTTCGTGGAAATTTCGGCAATTCTTTAACAAACCCTTATTCCTGAAAGCAGCTTTGTACTTTTGGCATAATCGGGTTTAATAACATTAAGTAGCGGGTTTAGTTTGATGGTGTAGGAGCATAGAATCGATGTCCTCAGCGCTAGGCAGCCTAAATGTGTAGTTTAAGATGATTTCCCAGTAATAGCCGTTGATAAGTGGTTCTAAATAATCAACTTTGCCAGAAGTCTACTTTGTAGTTAAACATGTGACATCATTCTGCCTTCTAGAGAACAATGGAGAGTTCCTTCCAGAATCCCTTGCAGGGGACAAGTCCAATGTCGAATGTTTTCGTAATATTTAACGAAGGCGATGGGTAATTGAAAGAAACGGACGCGAATACCAGCACTGGTGGTCGGATGATGTGCCTTCGAAGAAATGCATTGCTGTCATCGCTTTCTCATCGCCGGCCTATTGGGTGGTTCTAGTGACTCCTAATATATGTCCGCACTATACAAAAGAAATCGGTTTCGCCTATATCGGCAACAGGAAATATCGTGCTCCCGACCTGTCATCAGCCATCCCGCACCGATATGTCAGTTACTTCACCACCTGTGTGAAGGCGTGGTGCCAGTGATTAGATATCGCTGCCTGCCTATTCGCGGTCAACCCCGGCGATTTCCTTGAATATTATTATTTTTTCAACGGGGTAGGCGCCACGCTTGGATCCAATTTTGATCTCCCACGTTGACCTGCGTATGTAAATTTAGACTCTTAGCTATACTGAGACTTGCCGATGCGTACGCTCTCCAGCGGATCCACCAGTGTCCTTCCAAACGTTTGGCTGGGCGTTAGTTGCAAACTTTCTTCTGCTTGATAAAAAGACGGCAAACATATTGTTCCAATTCTGGACAGCTCTGTATGCACATTTTCACCTTACGTTTGATTCTCTATGTATTTTTTGGTTATCGTTCGTGAAATGTCAGAATAATTCGACTGAAGTGCGACTCACTCCCAATAAGCAGGACCCTAAAAATTTACACGCCCTCTCGATCAAACCGCAGTTTAGGAAAATAAACCTGAAACTAGGGCAATAGCGTGCGAGTTATTTGGTTGTTTGTTCTATTGATTTTTTTTTTTATCCACACAGAATTATCGAGGCCGCTGGTGGACGCATTCTCATTGATGGCATTGATATTGCAACCTTGGGTTTGCATATGCTACGCTCACGACTCACAATTATACCTCAAGATCCAGTACTGTTCTCCGGAACACTGCGTATAAATTTAGATCCATTCGAAGTAAAGTCGGACGATGAACTGTGGAAAGCGCTGGAGCTGTCACATTTGAAAGCGTTTGTGAAATCATTACCCGCCGGCTTGAATCATGAGATTAGTGAAGGTGGTGAAAATTTATCGGTAGGACAGCGGCAGCTTGTCTGTTTGGCGCGTGCGCTATTGCGTAAAAGAAAAGTATTAGTGCTGGATGAAGCGACAGCCGCTGTTGATTTAGAAACTGATGACTTAATTCAGGTAAGCCGAAATTTGTTGATTTGAACGGTACAAATTATTAATGTTTTCCTTTTTCTTTTCATTGCGTACCACACACAGAAAACAATTCGTTCAGAATTCAAAGATTGCACTGTGCTAACAATTGCCCACCGTTTGAATACAATAGGTTTGTTCGTCGAGCAAAAAATTTGTACGAATTTGTACGAATTATCACGATTTTTGCCCAAATCGCGTTCGTGCAGACCAAAAAATTATCCAACACTCAAAAATTGTGAGAGCAAAGTGACAGTTCTCTTGGAGAGAAGTTGCAAATTCTTGCTGGAAAAAATTTTGCCAGCAAGAATTTGCAAACACGAAAAACATGTGGTTGTGGCGCATGGTTGCATTTTTGTCTACAATAATTTGAATAAATTAGTTCGTTAAATTAAAAAATTTATAAACGAGCGATTTCTTTATGAAAAAAGGAAGTAAATAATTGTTGATATAATTAATTTAGTTAATTCCAATGATTTGAACTTAATTCGGCTGAAAAAAATGGTATTCGCAATCGGAATGCAATTGCAACCAGAGTCGATTTAAGAAACCCGACAGCTAGTACGATGAAGAAATTGAAATGTATGTTAAAGAAAGTCAGAACAACAAGAAATATACATGTATATCCTGTTTTTGGCCATCCGAAAGAATTTTAAAAATTCTATAAAAAATTGTTTATGTTTGAAATGCAACCGTGGACGCCAGCTGGCAGGGAAACTTGCAAATTCCTGCAAATTTGCGTTCGTGCAGAAATTTGCAAGTTTCTCAACATGAGAGAGAATTTGAGAGAATTTTTTCTTACTCTCTGATATTTTGAGTGTTGGATAATTCTTGCTGGATTTTCGACGAACAAACCTAATATTAGACTCCGATAAGGTTATTGTGCTGAATAAGGGTGAAATTACTGAATTCGCTTCGCCCACAGAACTACTTGATAATCCGCAATCGGCATTCTACAGTATGGCAAAGGATGCCAATCTAGTGTAATTTTGTATTATAAATGCATATAATTACTTTGGTTTTTCGTTATGCAGTTTATGTGCTAAGCTAAGTTAACATTATTGAATGTGTCAGTATAGTACTTATTTGTAAGAATAAAAGCTACCACATATAAAGCGCATAAAGCAGAGCAATTACTAATAAACAACATATTTACACTAACACCATTTAGTAATGTTTCGAGTACTTAGACATCAAAGTCAATGTTTGCGCTTTATTGATTTTATTTACTTTTTGTTTGTTACATGCACATAATTAGTTGTACGATTTTGTTTTATAATTTTTGCATCTTAAATTATGTATTGCGCTGTTATCATAGTACATATGTACATTTAAATGTACATACTTAAATAACTACTTAAACAATCGTTTCGTTCAATGTACCACAATCACAAACATACACTCAATGAAATACGGCGAGTTACAGTTAATGCTTGAGTTATCAACGTATGCATTGTTTCGAATGTGCATTTTTTTTTTTGCTGTTTTAATTTTTTTACAATTTAATATATTTTATTTCTCCTACTTGTTCAAGTGTACGGAGTTCCAATGAGAAGCCGATTTCAAACAAATAATCGATTGTGATAACTGATGTAGCTAAATTTCAGTTTCTAAATCTACCTCACGTTGCACCATTGAAGCAGATATGTATGTATGTATAAAGGCAGAAAATTAATGCTGCGCAACCAAGAATGATAGAATACAAGATTGCGCCGTCCTGGGCGTTGACATTTGTGTACCACAAGTAAACAAAGAATAGAGCGAAAAGAAGAACGAGTTAAAACTGCCAAAGCAGTTCACTTTACAGCGAATAACGTGTTTTAATTCTACTAATTTCGAAAATATTGCATTTTTCACCAAATCTATTAGAGAACAGTGAAAATTTTAGTGCACTCCATTGCTTTGCAATTGAGGCTGCTTCAGCACACGTTTTAGTGCACTCCATTGCTTTGTAATTAAGGCTGCTGCAGAAAACTGCGGCAGCATCTCAGCGGGATTGATTAGTTAACTTGCTAATGGAGGCTTCTTGGAGCAGAAGCAAAATCATTGTGAGGAAATGCTGTTATTGTAATAATAAAGAAACATTTCGGGAACGGCTTTGCCGTGCCCTATGTACACAAAATGCAGCGATTCTTCCATGCGCTACTTGCATCTACGCTACGCATCTTGCATCTTGAAGCTGTCGCAATTTAACACACAGCACTTCTTTTTATTAGATTTTACGCAGTCTTCAACTCAAAAATCACTCACAAATTGCAAATTAACACAATTTAAACTGATTTTTCACTTATAATTCAAATTCTCTTTCGCTGATTTGTAAACAAAGGTTTATTTACAAGTTACCACAACTGTCAAAATCGGCGAAACCAAAGTAGCGGTACCACTTACGGCGCCACCTTTGTTCGCTGCACCGTGCTGCGCAACTGTGTTGCCTCATTCGTCTGTATATAAGGCCTAATGTTAACTTTGCAAATGCGTTTATGATGTAATAATTTTTTAACCAACAAGTTTTCAGTTTGTTTTGCATTTTTTTTTTTGTTTTGTATTAGCATAAGTGTGAAGAGTGTAATGCGGTTATTTTATTGTCTTAAATTATGTTTCGTATTTAAACAAAAAGAAAATGTATGTATATCGCTAAGACATGTATGTGAATCCGGAGTGCATATTACTATTGTAAACTTAGCAATTTACATAAATATAAACACCTTAATAATGTTCATTATTGATAAAAAAAAAAAACAAACAAGAAAAACTCAGAATTTTGTAAAATCTTAACAACTTAATTTAATGCGACGGGCCTTCTGATACTTAGCATCATGGAACTAAATTAGATGTACAATTTTTTAACTATACATTAGAATGTCAACGCTGTAAGAATAACATTAAATATCCTTTTTGTATTATTGCAAATTACAATGAGAATAAAGCGAGTTATTTAAAAATGTACCAAACATTTTTAAAATATGTTTTTTTATTTGTATACATACTACATACATAACTAAAAGCTGATAGGAGCTTTATTTTATTGTATCTGCAAAACGGTACAATTTGCAGTATGGATGTATGTTTGTAATACTTCTTTTTGGTTGCCGCTGTAACAGCTAGTGATCCCTTTATGAAGCTTAGCAATTTGTCGATGGAAAGATAATGTAGCTCGTTCATTATCAATACATCCGATCCAAAAATATACCATCTAAGTATGACAAAGGACGGACAGCGGCAGAGAAAATGTTCTAATGTTCTGCCAGAGCGAAGTAAGGCTATGGTGGTGCGAGTCTCCCGGTGCAGACGAAGCTCTCTCTCCTGCACGTTAGGTGGCGTTGTTTCCAAAAGAACATTCACAATCGGGAGTCGGTGTTGGTCGAGATCGACTGCCTGTGAATTCCGTCGGTTAGCTGTAGAGTCCAGAGGTTGTTTTATGAACCTCTTGATTTCGTCCGTCAGTTCGTATAGATGCCTTCTGATGCCCGCGTCTGTTACACCCTAATAACTGATTTCAGAGTTTCACTGTAGATCGTTGATGATGCCTATGGTGAAGATATGTTGTCCCCATGGAATGTGCCCCGTTATCAGTGTAGTAAAAAAAAGTTATGCACATTTCAGACCGGTTGCAAATTTGTAGTGCCCGACCGAGCGTTCGACTTCGGTTACCGAACAGTTCGGCCATGAAGTTCGGGCTCGGATTCGTTTCGGCTTAGACCAAAATTGACCGAGGTTATTTTAACCTGGCTACGCCCATAGATTGTTGTTAGTATCAATTTTGTTTAAATTAGCGTCCTTAAATTTCGTAATATCGAAGTTTCAAGCATTTCTGAAATTTACCGTCATATAAAAAGTGGGCGTAATTTTAGTCCGATTTCAATAATTTTAAGCGTTTTGATTTTATGTGGCTAGCACAATAATCACACAGAGTTTGGTACAAATTCATCGAACGGTTACCGAGATACATATATGTGGTCATAAGTGGGCGGTACCACGCCCATTTTCCAAAATTTTGTCACAAACGTATTTTTTGCTAAAGAATTATTGCAAACACCAATTTGAAATAAATTAGCTTCAGTATTTACTGATTTATCGAAGATTTCGTATTTTTCTAAATTACCGTTATATGGGATGTGGGCGTAGTTATTGTCTGATTTTTAAAATTTTCAGCTGTTTGGTATATTGTACCAAGGCCAACAACCGTGCCAAGTTTGGCAGAAATTGATGGAGCGGTTACCGAGATATACACATGTAATCATGCGCCCATTTTCCAAAAATTTATAATTTTATTATTTTTTGTCGTCTGAAAATCATTGTAAATATCAATTTTGAGTAAATAAGCTGCTGTAGTTACTAAAATGTCGCTGTTTTCGTATTTCTGAAATCTACCGTTATATGGAAGGTAGGCTTGGTTATTGTCCGATTTTACCCATTTTTAAATACCATCCGTCCTACGCTGAAAGGAAGTACACATACCAAGTTTCGTTAAGATATCTAAATTTTTACTCGAGCTATCGTGTGCACAGACGGACGGACAGACGGTTCCCCCTTAATCGGTTTCTTTTTTTTCATTCTAATCATTTATGTATGTATTTGTCTATATCTATCTCGATTCGTTTTGCCTGTTACAAACAACCGTAATGTGAACAAAGTTATAATACACATGTGTACAAGTGCGCTCGGGTATAACAATGGAGGGATCAGGATATATACAGAACCTATTTCCAAGTTGTGCTCGACCATATCTACAACCTACACTAGGATGACAACTTTGGTACTAAAAACAAAGAAAACATGGAACATGGACCTGGTACGGTGCGGTATTTTCCTGGTGGGATATTTATGTTTGTATTCATGGATGTATGTACGTATGTATGTATGCAGCCGACCACTTTTTCCGCCGCTAGCAGTGTTGCCAGAGAACAATTTCCTTTCGTTTGGAGCTACAACGGCAAAAAGAGCTAAAAAGGGCTAAATAATACTAATAGTAACTAAAATGAAGAGCTAGTTTTTTTTTAAGTTGAACATTTATTGACGTAAGGTTGTTTTTACATTTTCCGAAAATTAAATAAAAGCAACAATTTTGTAAGTTTAAGTGCTGAAAAAAAAACTTTTAAAACCAAAATTCACTTGTACAATGACAGATTTGGAATTTAAATATATTACCAAACACAACTAAAATTTTCTGGAGCTAAAAAAGTGCTAGATAATTTTGAAAAGAGTTAAAAAAAGAGCTAGGAGCCAATCCAAATTTTCGAAACTAAATGGAAAAATAGAGCTAAATAACCTAGCTCCAAAAGAACCAAAATGGCAACATTGCTTCATGGCTTCATGGTTGACGGCGACGGATGGCTGTATGTTATCTCTCTGTCGCATTTCTTCTCCTGCCGTATCCGTTTATATGTGCTGCTTCCACGTGCTGCCGACTGAACTGCTTTGCTGACCGCGACGACGGCAACCAATCGGCGTTGCCAAAAACCGCATTTCAACCGTCGAGCACGTCTATTGTTCCACATGGTATCAGGCGCCGAGCATGTTTAGCAATTCGCTTATGCCATTTCTTTGTTCGATTGTTTCGTTTGGAAACGCTGGGAATTTCTGCTCAGCCAATGGTGGCGCTGCATTGGCTGGCGCATGCATACATTCACAGTTCTGTGAATCAGCGATGGAAGTTTAAATTGCAAATTGTACCTAATTTGAGTAGAAAATTGTATCCCATAGGCTGCGTTTCTTTATACATTCCGGATAATCCCATTTCACAGCCGGAATAAACAGAATACGTTTGAAATATACGTTAACATATCATCAGGAATGTTCTAAAGAATAAGTAAACAAAAAAGTTTATTCCAAACGTTCAGAATGAATAAAGAAATTCAGCCATAGTGAATGAATGTACCCAAATAACTACATATTTCACATCTCTTAAAATCCAATTGAAAGTGTGAAAATATGAGAAGAACTTGCCCTCACGATGCATTAGCTAATTTTAGAATCTGCATTAAACTAATATGATCTGTTCAAAAGGGCAAAAATCTCGGTAGGGCCAAATTATGTTTTATTTTTTTCTTTTTTAATATATCTAAGTATCTTGCCGATTTCCACCTTAA